TTTCTCAGTTGTGGCTGAAGAAATGCAATCGTTTGTTGTCCTCCTTAAGCTTCAGCTTTAGGTGGTTCTGCAGTTCTCCATATGGCAGGCTGCATCTGCTTTGTACTATGCTGACCTTAGGGAGGCATGTTCCTACACAACCTCCTGCGTAGATAAAGACTGCTTGGTATCAGTGCCTTCTGAATCTAAAACTATATTCTGACCTTCGTTCAAGGTACAGCTTTCCCTTCCATCCTTCCCCTCAGCAATAATGGTTTTCCCCGCTTTGTTCTATGTTTTTCCCAAGGGCAGAGGGTGTAGTCAGTGATAGAGCACTTTTATAGCATGTGCAAGATGCCGCATATCTTCCCAACCCTAGCCCAGGCCCAAAATGTGTGTGTGTCTCACTGAGGGTTTCTTCTCACAGAAGAAGAGTTTTGTTTCTCAACTTTGACCAGAAAAATCTGAAATAAATAGGCTTCCTGTTTCTTTTCCATGGGTTTGGGGCTTATATGAGACTCCAAGAGGACAGAACATCCCCTTCATTTCTAGACCTGAGAGACAACTTTGATTATCCTATTCTGAATTTCTTCTCAACTAGTGCTATGTGGAACCGCAGAAAAATTTATCTGTAAGCAAACAAGTTTCCTTGGTGTCTGATGCCTAGATCCTCCACACATTCCAAACTAGTTCATACTTAGCCTTTAAGAATTAGTTAAAATTTAAAGCTTCCCCTCACCCTCATATTTCTGGCAGCCATTTCTTTCTCTTCTGGTAAGCTAAGGATAAAATAATTCATACAGCCCAATGCTTAGACTGTGTGGCAGGGAAGTTTGTCCTTCTTGAAATTTACATTACTTGGCTGTTTTATTAGCTAAGCTTTCAGACAGGCCTCTGGCTTTCTTACAGTGAAAGGAGCTGGTTCTTTGTCTTCACTCCATCCGTTTGCTGAGACAGATTCTTGCTGTCCAGCCCAGGCTGACCTTAACCTCACTGTTCTTTTGCCTCAGCCTCTCCACTGTATGCACTACCACACCCAACCTGCATGTTTATATTCTGACATGCCTTCCTTTTCCATTTTTGCAGTTTGTTATTATCCTTCCAGCCACCAGACAAAATCTTGGGAATATCATTAATTTTTCTGTAATGGTATTTAATTTCCAATCTGCTGACAATGACTGAATGAGATGGATCACTAATGTCTCTTTGTCAAGAGTGGGTTTTCTATTTGTTTAGTATCTGTAATTATCACCTCACAACCGTGTCATAACCAGTTTGCACTCTGCTGTCCACCAGAGTGTCCCAGCACTGCTGCATTACTCTGATCTTTAATCTTGGCCATTATCTCTTCTATGCTGCTTTATTTATGCCATAAAATATGACAGCAACTGAGATTGTGGAGACCTTACATTCTTTACTGTATTATAAAAACAGAGATCAGGCATTGTAAATTGTTACATTCCCTCCTTTAGCTTTCCTACATAAATATTCTGTCTTAAGAATTAAAACATTTTGGGGCTAGAAAGATGGCTCAGAAGTAAAAAGCCCTTACAGCTCTTGCAGAGCACCTGAGTTTGGCTCTCAACACCCATGCTGGTTGGTTCACAATTACTTCTAAGTCCAACTCAGTAAGTCCAGTACCTCTGGATTCTGTGAGCATCTGCACTCATATATGCATACCCACATAGAGACACATACACATAACTAAAAAATAAATTCTAGACAATTAAAATATTAAAAGCCAGGTATGGTGGCAAATGTTTTCTATAGTTCTAATCTTGAGAGACTGAAGCCACTTAAGCCAAGGAATTTGCTACCTGGGCAACATGGTGAGACACATACCATGCTCCTCCATCTCAAAAACAAATAAGCAGGACCTGGAGATATACAGATCAGTGGCCAAAGAACTTGCTGCTCTTGCAGAGGACCAGCTGCTGTGCTCCGCACCCACATCAAACTTTTAATTCCAATCCCAGGGGACTTGAAGTCTAGCCCTCCAAAAGCACACGGTGCACATACAGACAAGTTTGCATATACACATACAAATAAATTAATTTTAAGTAAATAAAAATAAAAAGCAAAAATAGAGAAAAACTTAACAAACATGGAACTTATAACCTTCTAATACCCCATGACTTGCCTGAGCATTGTCAATACAATTACAGCAACAGAATTCCCAAAGTTCACACACGTTCTCCAAACTAGAGAAGAATACATACTATTAATGAAATTATTATACTACCAAACACATTCAGATGAAAGCTCCGTTAGGATCCTCCTAACACAGCCATCCATTTACCCTGGCAAGTAGGATTTATAGTAGGAATCACAAACACAAATATTTCGAGGCCCCAATGCTTAGGTGGATGTGGATACAATAAACACCTCGAATGTTTACTCAAAAGTCACTGCCATTATACTTCAAACAAGCAAACCTGTCTACCTCACTCATTCAGGTGGTATACAATTTATCAAATTTTCTTTTTACAAACTTGAAAGCTGTTAAAACCCTGAACATCTAAAGAAACTAATCAAGAGAGCGGACCCTGACTAAAACTCTCAATCCCCATCCCGAAAGGCAAAGAGGTTGGACATCAGAAGAAGAAGAAAACAGGAAACAACCTAGGTACCTGCCACAGAGGGCCTCTGAAAGGCTCTGTCCTACAGACTATCAAAGCAGACACTGAGACTTAAGGCCAACTGATGAGCAAAGTGCATGGAATCTTATGTAAGAAGTGGGAAATAATAAGAGCTGAAGAGGATAGGAACCCCACATGGAGAGCAACAGAACCAGAAAATTTGAACACAGGGGTCTCCCCAGCGACTCATATTCCAACCAAGGAACATGCATGGAGATAACCTAGAACCCCTGCACAGATGTAGCCCATGGCAGCTTCGTGTCCAAGTGGGTTACACAGTAATGGGGACTGCCTCTGACATAATCTGATAGGCCTGCTCTTTGATCACCTCCTCCTGAGGAGAGAGCAGCCTTACCAGGCCACAGAAGATGACAATGCAGCCATTCCTGATGGGATCTGATAGACTAAGATCAGAAGGAAGGAGAGGAGGACCTCCCCTATCAGCGGACTTGGGAGGGGCAAGTGAGAAGAAGGGGGAGGGAAGGTGGGACTGGGAGGGGAGGAGGGAGGGGCTTATGGGGGATACAAAGTGAATAAACTGTAATTAATAAAAAATAAAAAATGTAACTAATAATAAAAATAAAGAATAAAAAATTATTTCCAATAAATGGGAGAAAGGTATAATCACAGAAGACAAACAAGGTGAAAAGCTGTTCAAATATACCTTTTATAACATTACTTTCAAGTATACTTTTAAAAATATCATCTAAAGATCCTATGTGCTATTTTGGTGAAGTCAGTGTAGGTGCCAGCTCTGCCATATAGCTTCACTGGTCAAGCTATAGCTATTAGAGAAAATTCCTGGACCTACAGTAGTGTGTAGTACTGTATTTGACTTAGGATCAGATGTCCAAAGTGACCTGTGTCATGTATTCACAGGAAATGCTCAAAATAAAATGAAAAGAAAAAGAAAGAAAGCTTTAGTTGCTGAATGATCATCTGCACCAATTTAAGAAAGACCTGCTATACAACAGTACTTTAGTATGAGAATATAACCATAAAAATGGTTCAGTGAAACAAAAAAGAAAAGAAAAAAAAACAAAACAAAAAAAGGGACAACTTAAATGTAACTAGAGAATAAATTGTATAAATCTACATATATAGTCTATTCAACAATGAACAAGGTTATTTGTTAGCATGGAAAGATGTCTAAGGGATGATTCTGCAGGAAAACAGGTTATGAAACAATATGTGTAACAATGTAATCTGTGCTCCTATACAACACACATCAAATTAGTGCCTCCCAGTTCCAAAGTCAGGTTTTACTTCCTGCTTAACAAAAATGAAGCCAGGTGCTTTTAATACGGTTTTTTTCTTTTCTCAGCGGACACATACGCTACACGTATCAGCAAAGGCCCTGGAGACAGCAAATGCAGGAGTGGATTGCCACGTGCAGGATCTGAGAGTAACATCTTTCCCCCTGACACAATCCCTTGGGTGCTTGGAAAATGCCACTGAGGAGATACCAACTTATGATTAACTCTCCTCAGACCCTAAAAAGTAAATTTGAAGTTTCAACCACAAAGCACTACATCAACTTCTCTGTCATCTAGTAAAGCAGAGTCATACTCTCCCATAATACCCAGATTTCAGTCTTAGGTGAAGGTCCTTCTCAGCAGACTCTATCTACACACAGGAGGTATTGCACTTGTTATATATGACAATGCTATATATAAGAGGTCTTTTCTTACTGAATTCTTGTTACTCTCTAGATTTAATAACTCTTTACATTAAGCTTTCCTTGTTCAAATTACAGTGATTTCCCCTTGACTCTTACTTTCCTTGACTCTTACTTTTTATTTTTCAATGTTGACTGAATTTATTTTATATAATAAAAAGGTATTTTTACGATAATCAGAAAAGGCACATTAATTTTATTTTGCTAAAACAAAAATATTTGGTGCAAAGTAAACATTAAGAAGTTTTCCTTAAAAGGCAGAAACATAGTTGTGAGATTAACACAAATGAGTTCTGATAAACACTTAACTTGTATAGGCCTCTTTTGGTTTTTCTCTTCTTAATATCAACTTCTTTTTAACATTCTCTAAAAATGTATCTCTAAGTAATTTTTTTAAAATACTTTTTCTTTAGATTTTTTTTTATATATATATGAAATACATGGAGTACCCAAGGAGATCAAAGGGGGGCATCAGCTCTCCCAGAACTGGAGTTACGGATGGTTGTGAGCCACCATGTGGTTACTGGGAAATGAATTTGGGTTCTCTGAAAGAGCAGCTAGTGCTCTTAACTGCTAAGCCCCTCTAAGTAATTCTAAATGACAGAAATGACTGAGACTTCTGTTGTAGCTGGCAATCGCCAGGCACCCTGAGTAACAGTGCTCTCAATACGTGCTCCTTCAGCTTACTCCTGCTCCCCTCTTACCGTGCTCAAGGATTATCAGCTGGGCTCCAGCCTGTGCATTTCCAACATCATTCTCAGCAATGCATTGATAGAACCCTTCATCTGATTTCACCAGACCCAAAACTTGAAGATTATGTTCCTTCTAAGGAAGAAAAACATACATAAAACTTTATGACCTAATTGATAAACATGAGTTTAAAACCTCAAGGATATGTTCTCAAAGAGAAGGAGGAAATATTGTTATTAGCATAAGTATGTTGCTTTAAAATTTTAAAAACATGTAAATAATGATAAAATAAAATGCTAATTTCAACACAACAGATTGATATTAATGTTAAATACTCACAAACTACTTTTTGTTGACATGAGATTATACATTTCAGAAACAAGAAATACATTTCCACAAAAAATTAATTACTTCTGTGTAAATTTATAAAATGTCACTGTCTTTAAAATACTTGCAATTACTTCTGAGCTTTTAAATAAGTTTTGTGTAAAGACCTTAAGGTATACCATTAATACTTATTACTAAAACTTAAATAATTCTATTAGTAGGATACCAGATAATGATAATATTAGTAAATAATAATAACTACTATATACCTAACACATAGAAAGTCGAAAGCAATTATGAGGAATTTTTAAAAACATTTAACAATTTCTCCTCACACTGGGATCTGGGAGACTCACTGACTAGAACAGGCTCGGTGGGTGAGCCTCTGGGTTCCACTTGTCTGTATCTCTAAAGTCCTGGCATTTCAACTCAAGGCCTTACTTGGGTTTCTCCGGGTGACCAAATTTAGGCCTTTATGCTTACATGGCAAGTACTTTATAGACTGAGATATCAATCCAGCCCCACATTTAACACTTTTTGCATTTACAACTTTGTTACTGTTTTGATAGTCTCACTGAGAGACCTAGTCTGCACTCAAGCTCATTATCTACCTGCCTTTACCTCCTGAGGGCTCGGATTACAGGCAAATACAACCATGTCTTGATTATATCTAATTTGAAAATTCTTTTAACTAATACATGCAAATTAAAGGGGGCTATGTGATGTGCACTCACTTTCTAAAAGGATCTCTGTTGTTAAAAGTGTTGGCATGGGGGTCATTCTTACTTTGAAGGGTATGTATATAATTTATGATTTTATGGTTAAGTTTTATATAGTATAACTAACTGATACATTTTCCAAAATTATTATCTTTCCATACTTCAAGAGAGAGCTGGATACGGTGACACATGCCTTTAACCCCAGGACTCAGGAAACAGAGGCTGGTGGATTTTTGTAAGTTCCAGGCCAGCTTGGTCTACATAGTGGGTTCCAGGACAGCCAGAGCTACACAGTGAGAGAGGAAGAAGAGAGAAAAGAAGGGAGGGAGAGGGAGGGATGGAGAAAAGGAGGGAGAAAGGGAGGAAGAGGGATGGAGTAGAAGAGGGAGGGAGGGGGGGAGGGAGGGAAATAGAGGGGGATCTGCTCCTTGAATACAGCTGTAAGGTGATGAGGAACACGCATGCATACACTATTTCTCAGGAAACGCTGAGAGCAACATTAAGAGGACAAGATGGTTGGTAGGCTCTAAGCCTAGTACAGACACTGATTTGCTGTGATCTCACATAAACTACCAAAATACTTATGAGCGTAGCTTTCTCTAAGCCAAAAAATAAATTATGTTCTATGATTTTTTTCTATAACTTTTCTATTTCTTCATTTGCAGTAATTTAAATTGGTATATATAATACATCTTTTGATGATTACATTTATAAAACTTGAGGGTTTCAGAAAGACATGTACTTCTTTGAAAAAATACTTACTACAATTTTAAAGTAATCACTTGGGATAACAACATCCCCATTCTTGACCCACTTCACAGTTGGAGTTGGCTTCCCAGTGACTTCACATTCAAATATAATATCCATGGATTCGTGAGCATATATGTTAGCAGGCTGTTTCAAAAATTCCGGTGGCACTTTAAAATATAAAGGAAAGATATCAATGAAAATAAAAATAAGTAGCTATTCACATGTCAACAAATTTTTAAACCACATAATTCAGTTATTTGCATATTTCTTTAAAAGCATGTAACTATATATTTAAAATGTTAGCAGCACAGTAGTTTTATAAATTAATTGCCTGATGGATTATTTAGCTATAAAGAAGATTTTTTTTTTTTTTTAAGTCACAGGTAACTGGACGGACCTGCATCTGCCATGAGATAAATCCAGAAAACCGAAGTCTGTACAGTAAAATAAAATCAGAAGGATTTACAAATAGTGACCATCCTTCCAAATACTAGCCTTTAACCTAAATTTAACCTTTAACCTAAATTTAACCTTTTTCTGAGATTTTCATATATGTGTATTGTATTTAGATATCTCTTTCTCTCTACTCTAGCTCATTCTGTGCTTATACCAACACACACTCTCTCTAATTCATCTCTTCTGTAACTACTGTTACACATATACCCACACACATAGTCGTCTTACTGAGCCCATTTAGTGTTGCCTCTATATACAAATGTGGTTGGGGCTGACCACTTGGGATTAGATGACCTATCAGGAAGCTTGTCCTTGAAGAAAACTAATTCCCCATCTCTCTGCAGCCATTGATTGCCTGTAATGCGTCATTAAAAAGTGAAATTTTTCCATCTCTATTGGCATATGGACTGGTGTTGTCACTATGAATCTTGCTTAGTGTGCATCTAGGCATACCAGGGATGCAGCACCCATGAAATCTTAACTTTACTCTTTTGTGCATACTCTATTTAGGTACTTGGCCATTTTTCAATCATTTGTATTTACAATTACTTGTCTCTATGCAAATATTTTCATAAACCATCAGTTATGAATAAATGGCTTCTCAGTTTCAAACCCACCATTCTGCGCCGTCTGCAGTCACAGAAGTGGTCGTTTGCCACATGGTGCTTCCTTATGAAAAGGCACTGGAGGGCATTGCAAAGTACAACAGGATAGGGCTTAACTTTCGGGGTGGAGTGCACTTTCTTCCTTGTCTCCACCATAGTTTCTAGAAGGTCTGCAGGAGATGTAATGATAATCACCCTCCAAAAGTTTCTCTAGTTTACTCCGCTCTGACCCACTGCATCCCAGTAAGCGGGATCTAGAATGCAGCTCAAGTTCGTAATACTTCAATGGGCATCTACTTGGTCAACATCAGACAGGCTCCTAGTAGGGCCTGTAGCATCCCAGCGCGCAATCTCAATTGGTCTAGCTTTGGCTAACAGCTCTGTCTTCAGGTAGCAGCTATGTTCTTACCCAACAAAGAATGAGCAGCAGTCCTGGGTAGGGAGATTTCTTAAAAGTTTGAGATCGCGTTAAAAGCACTATAGTGAGTTGCGGCTTTACAGTGTATTTGGTTTGTTTCAGCTCACTGAGGTTACTGTTTCTATCATAGGAAACTAGAATGGAGGAAGCCTTGGCTTGTTGGATGCACAATGGTTCTTTCTATCATGACTTTCCTGGTGGTCTTTAAGTATTTTCTGATCATTATTTTCACACTCCTTTTGGTGACAAAAATCAGCACTTATGGATCTTCATTTTCTATTAAAGTCTCCAATTAAATTCACGACAACACATCTTAAATGAATCTTTTGAACTCTAACCTCTGTAACTTCTTTTGTCTACTAAAAATTTCTGTTACCAATTAACACTAACATAGTTATGCATCTGTCTTATTTTATAGCTCCTTAGTCTCAGACTAACATTTTTCTTACCAACAATCATTGCAGCTATTTGTCCTTAGAATATACTCCATTAAGAATATACAGTCCAATTACTATTTCATAGTTATCTAAATAACTTTCAACCATAAGCTATACCTTTCTATATGGTTTTACTCTGCCAACTTGATACAAAATTTGAGTCATTTGTTTAATTTTATTTTCCACCTTCAGAAATCACTTGGAAAAAATTTAAATCTACACAAACAATATATATCCAATTAAGTCCAGCTTCCATCCTATCCTCATCTAGCCTCATAGTCCCCTCCATAAGTAACAATTTTAAAAAAATGTTATGGTGTATTCTTCCATTTAAAAAAAAATGTAAAAAGCAACTTGCTTCACCACTCTTCTTCAAATTATAAATAACACACTAAATTTTTTCTACTTTCAAAGCCATACTCTTAACTAAGCTAGTACATTCCAAGGAACTGACATATTCCCTGAGCTAGTACTGGGGAACCTTCCCCTAAAGTATAATGAGTGATTCTGCAAAACACAGCAAAATGTTTTTTTTAAATCAAATTAATAATTTTAGTATGCATTTCAGTAAACAGACTTTCAAAGAGTACTAGAAGAAAGTCATCAACAGTGTCCAGCATTTATTTTCCCTTTCATGAATTATTAAAAAGAAAAAAACAAAACAAAAACAAAAACCCTCCTCTGGATTTTAACTACTCTCTCTATAGTATTCACACCAATTAAATATAATGTGAGAGCAGATGTTTGTGGTTAGGAAGTTAGGCAGATAACCCGAGAACAAACGAATCAATTACCATAAGAAAGTAGTACAGCAATGGAAGATTATGAATTTTGTTACCAAAGAGATAATTAAGCTTCAAAGTCTCTGTGACAGGTCTCTATCCCTTCTAATCTGCCGTTACAACAGTAATTTTAATTGCCAAATACACAAGTAGAATGTTAATATAAAAACAAACATTAGATCTCTAACATTCCTTTGCTGAAGAAAACCTTCATTCCACTGCTGTTGAATGTTGTCAACTGCCACCCAATTCACACAGAAAACAAGACTGTGCTGGCCAACAGCAAAGTTTAAAAGGTTACTCCATTATGCTGCAATATGGAAGATAGTGGCTTCCATTTACATTAACTCTCCAATGCTGGTGTTTCCACAGTCTGATTTTTAATTCTTTAGTACTAAAATTCTCATACATCACTTTAACTAGAAAAACAATTTTGTCCATTTATGTTAAACTGTACACTTGATGTTCTTAAGTTTTTTCTACAATTCACAAATTGACATCCAAATCTTTAAGAAACAATTGACAATAGACCAAAACCTCTCCCAAGCATTTAAATCTGAAATCCTTTTAGAGATTTCATTCAACAATGTAATTTTAAATCTGCAAAAGGTACTGGCTGTACTAGGAAAGCAAGAATAAATTAGAAATCACACACACACACACAGTTTCCAGAGAAAGCTTCCCACTGTACCAAAGGTAAACAGGTTCTCCTGTACTCCAAGAGAAATGTGACATCAATGTTGCAGGGACCTTACCATGAAATTACCAGCAGACTTTAATATCCTGCCCTTTCTCATGCCATATTTACAACTTCATTTTCCTTCCTTTCCCCTCGCCCATCCCTCCTGACTGAGCTAAGTAGTTATCCTGCAGATCCTAAAAGCATTTCCTTGAAGAAGCATTGAGTCCATAGGCCCGTTTTCTCTATTCCACACCTCTCACTGTCTCATCTACCACTAAAAACATAGTAGCCTAAATTACACTGCATTAGCTGAAATTCTACTAACCATCACTATCAGAATAGATGGAGAGCAACAGAACCAGAAAATTTGAACACAGGGGTCTTCCCAGAGACTCATACTCCAACCAAGTACCATGCATGGAGATAACCTAGAACCCCTGCACAGATGTAGCCCATGGCAGTTTAGTGTCCAAGTGGGTTCCACAGTAATGTGAAGAGCCACTGCCTCTGACATAAACTGATTGGCCTGCTCTTCGATCACCTTCCCCTGGGGGGGGGGGGGCGCGCAGCCTTACCAGGCCACAGAAGATGACAATGCAGCCACTCCTGATGGGATCTGATAGACTAAGATCAGAAGGAAGGAGAGGAGGACCTCCCCTATCAGTGGACTTGGGGAGGGGCATGCATGGAGAAGGGGATGGGAGGGTGGGATTGGGAGGGGAGGAGGGAGGGGCTTATGGGCGATACAAAGTGAATAAAGTGTAATTAAAAAAAATAAAAAAAACATGGAAAAAAAGAATTTTTTTCAAAAATGTGTAAGTTTCTCAAGGATTCAATGTTTTATGCTAGTTTCTCATAAGTTTTTCCCTAAGTACTTAACAGATATCATACATATTACTTTACAGTAGATGCTTTTTTTTTGCAATTTGTGTCCTTCTCTTAATATATTCCCTACGTCAAATAAATTACATATGTATAAAATATTTAATGATTACACAGACACAAACCCATGGCAGCATGATTAGAAAATGATTTAAGTGGTTCTGAAGAAAGGCCTAAGTATGACACTAAATCAGAAACAAGAAAAATTAAGTATCCCACCCTACCGCACTCTTCTTCCCTTCTGCCCCTCCCCTAGACCACTGATAGGGGAGGACCTCCCTCTCCCCCTCCATCTGACCCTAGCCTATCAGGGCTCATCAGGACTGGCTGCATGGTCTTCCTCTGTGGCCTGGCAAGGCTGCACCGTCACCCCCAGGGGGAGATGAACAGAGAGCCTGTCTCTGAGTTCATGTCAGTGGGTTTCCTTATTAGGGAACCCATTTGGAGACTGAGTCTATGGGCTACATCTGAGCAGGGCTTTTAGGTCCTCTCCATGCAAGGAACATGCATGGTCCTTGGTTGGTTGAGGTCTCAGTCTCTGCAGGGACCCTCGGGCATATGAAAAATATGTTCAACTATACAACAAGGATATTTGCTCAACCATGCTAAGCTCTATTCTTAAGAGCCAGAATTTGGAAACAACCTGGATATCCCTCAGCGGAGGAGTGGATACAGAAACTGTGGTACATTTACACAATGGAATACTACTCAGTTATTAAAAACAAGGAAATCCTGAAATTTGCAGGCAAATAGTGGGAACTAGAATAATCATCTTGAGTGAGGTAACCCAGAAGCAGAAAGACACACATGGGAGATACTCACTCACAAGTGGTTATTAGACATGTAATATAGCATAAACATACTAAAATCTATACTCCTAAAGAAGCTAAAAAAGGAAGACCTAG